AAAGCACTTTAAGAAGCGGTTAACGGCTAATTTCTTCCTCCCGGGGCCAGGGAGCCCGGCCGTGCTGCTGCCCCGTGCCGTCAGGCACAGCCCGCCACACGCACACGGACTGGTCGGGCATCTGGTGCAAACGCGGGGTTCGTTTTGTTCCCGGTCACTTTTAAATCCGTAGGTGTTTCTCCGCTTTTTTTTTTTTTCAGAGATTGAGTCTTTACAAAGACGAAAAGAAAATATTTTTGTTCTCTTTGTGAACAGCATAAAAATGATCCAACGACATTCCCAGTTTCAGGAAGTTTGGACTTGAGAATATGATAAATCTGAAGCTGCTAGTGTCACAGTTACCCTTTTTCACTGCTGGGTTGTGTTGTCTGAACTTTTAGTAACTCTGCAACGTTGCTTGGTTATTTTTAGTGGTGACATAGTGCATACAGTGGAAGAATCTCGTCAGGAGAGGGGCAGCTCTGATCAAGGGAGATAAAAGCCCTCTAGTGGCATGAATTCCATTGTGCTGGAGCAATATTTATGTTTCCTGTGGATGAAGAGAGCAGCAGATACGTGGGGTTTTTAAATTATTTTTCTTTGGATTTAGACCAAAACTTCAGGGCTTTAGAAAAGTCTGCCGTTCATTAGGAATGTTCTGTGTAACTATCTTTTTGGATTCAAACTCTTTAGTACACTCCCAAGTACTCAGAAGTGCTCGTACAGACAACCCCTTTTGCTACATGTTTTGTTGTAGGAGCTGTCTCTGTTGATTTATGGTGTTGACTTATGAGCAACACCTTAGAAAAATTGTGCTTGTTCTCTAACTGCTGCTTTTGCTTATTTTCTAGAATGGTGAGAACTTCTGCATTCTGGACGAGCAGAGGTTTGCCAAGGAGCTACTCCCCAAGTACTTCAAACACAACAATATCTCCAGCTTCATACGACAGCTTAACATGTGTAAGCATCAGCTGCTCTTGTGTATTCTTTCTGCCAAGATCTTTGCTACTTGGCATCGATTTGAATTTCTTTAAGCAAACCAAGTGACTTGGCAGGTCTTTCACTGCTGAAAACCTGAATTCTGGTCTTGAGTTTGCTTTGCAAAAGAAAAGAATAACACTAGAGCTTGGCTTAGTCTTTGTTTTCTGTGATTCAGCTCTGAGTCCTCTTGAGCAACGGCCGTAAAAAATATTGTTAAAAATATTGTTCCGTGGGCTGGTACCTAAAGTTATTATTTCGTGTGCGGGTACCTAAAGCTTGGGTAGAGGTCTCTTGACTCCAGTGGTAGTGTTAATGGTAATGGCAACAGCAAACTAATGTGTACCTAGAGGACCAAAGGCTGTATCTACACCCGTGCATCTAGTATAGGCAAAAAATTTGCCAGGGTCATGCTGTTACCTGCATTGCTGTGTTGAAACAAGATTAGTCACGCTGATGGATTGAGGTGGACTAAGTTTTTCTCTCTGTGCTAGACTTGTGAGCGTCATGTAGCATCTGTTATATAACGTGTAACTTGTACAGGCAAAGAAGCTGGAGTGAGGTGGTAATTCAAAGATAGAGCACAAAGTGCAGGGCTGCAACACACAGCAGAAATAGTTGCTCTGCGGTAGATAGCTTATGGGCTTAGTGAAGGTACAAACTGCATAGAAGATGGATGCCTTAGTTGGAATTTCCATTTGGAGTAAGGGGGAGCAACTCTCTGTCCTTGCCTGGTAGGTTTGCCTGGTGTCTCTAGCTGATGGCTATTTAGATTTTGTCAGACCTGAGAGAGAAAGCGTACATTTAGCTTCTTGACACAGGGTGGATGCTGCTGTTTGTGTCAAGTGTTGAGACTCCATCACTTGAGAGTCAAAGGATAATGCAAACAAGCAATTATAAGTTGCCTTGTAGCAAGGATAAAGGCTAAAATGCAAATATTCCTATGAAGACATGCAGTGTGACGGTAGCCTCCTTTTCCTGCTGGACCTATCCTAGCGTTGAGTAAAGTTTTCTAATGATCGCGGTGTTGGGACGCAGTGAAACTGGAATCCGTTAACTATGTTAAAATCTTGAATGAGGAGGGATGTAGATTGGTCTGTCAACTGTGTTTTGCACCTACCCCGTGGTACTTGAAGCAGTGATGGAAATAGTGCTGGCAATGTCTTATTTCATGCAGGCAGTCTGGTGTGGAGAAAGCACTGTGCGTGCATGCGTTTGCATAGGCTGAGAACTAATTTCCTTAACTTTATTCTGTAGACCCTGGTGGTACAGGATGGCATTTGTTTTGATATGTAGTTGTCTGGGATTACAGGCATGAAAGGGAAGATGCACTCTTCTGCTGCTTTCGCTGGGATAAGGTTTTATTCAAGATGTCCTAATAAATCTCATTTTGCGCTAACTTCTGTGATTATTTGGACATCACTATCTTGCCTGCGGACACTAGCTGGCCTCTGCCATGCGTGCTGTTTGTACAGCCTGCAAGGTCATTTGATGGTATTGTGGACCTGTTCTCTAGCTGCGAAGGTCAGAGCAGTCAAATCATTGAGCACCAAAGAAAAGCTGCTTTTACTAGGCTGTTTTGCATAGTTTCTGCTCCTAGTAACTGTAGTGCTGTAGGTGTTTCAGTAGCCCTGGGTTTTTCTTTAGCTATGTGTTGTAACAGTCAGCCTTGCACTTACAGAAATGACTTTGTTAATCCCTTTCCACAGATGGTTTCAGGAAGGTGATTGCCCTGGAGAATGGTATGATTACAGCAGATAAAAGCTCAGTCATTGAGTTCCAGCATACTTTCTTCAAGCAAGGGAAGGCACATTTGCTGGAAAACATCAAGCGAAAGGTACAGTCTAAGCATGTATTTACATTGTAAAAGTAGCTAATCAAGAGCAAGTCTGGAGATTTCAAACACTTTATAGCCAACAAATTCCTTGTTAACCAAGGCTGTGCATCAGCAAGCCTTTGTAGCTCCCTCCCAAATGCCAGACTAATGCTTGGCTTGGCTTTCTCATGCCAGCTCTTAGACAAAACACACCCTGCTGTTGTTTAGCAATGTGCTGGAATAGGACCACAGTCTTCATAGCTGTCAAACTAGAGCCCTTTTTCCATAGAGAGTTCATATACACGATTACAGATTACCGTGGTCTTCAATTCTGCCAGCATAGCAGAGTTGGAAAGAGTCACGAAGTGAAAGAAGTAAAAGAAAATGCATTTCCATTTGGTACTAATTGGAAATTAGCAGGGACATCAGTAATCAGTTCATTTGTGTGAGTTAGTATAAATTACATTGTTCCTCCAAAACTATGTTGTCACTACTACATCTTTAGTAGCACTTTGCAGTTTTCTTTTGTGCATTCAGGCCTTGTCTGACCTGTTTCTGCGAAGATATTTATCCTCTATTGGCACATTACAGCCCATAATATCCTGGCTGCCAGAGAAAGAGTATCATGATACATCATCTTGACATTTGAACTGCATAATCTTTTCTTTAGAATGTCATAATGTGGTAGCTGCATTGCCCAAGTTAATAAAAGCACAGGGTAGGCTTGAGAGTCACAATTGTGTTTTGATTGATTCTTCACTGAGCTGTCTCTGCTCAAAATCACAATTGCTTAAATATAGTTGTGCAGTTGCTTCTCTGACTCAGGCCTGCGCTCTTCCCAGGTGCCGTAATCGCTAACTTGCCTTGGATGGCACACCTTGCTTGCTGGTGTGTTGGGGCAGTCAGCTGGTGACGTTGTGTGTGGCACCATGCATCTCGGGGGTGTTGCGCTGGGTGGAGTGTTCTAGATAGAAAGACAAAAGCTCTAGTTCATGCCAAGGACGTTCATAGGAAGCTATCGAATAGGTTGGTGAAACATATTCTTTGTTGCACAGGAAACGTCAGTGACTTTTTGCAAAATGTCTGTTAGTTTTTCTTGCTCTTCTACTGCCCGGAACGGAGCCGTATTTCACTACTTGCTGTAAACTGTATATCGAGCCCCTGCCAGGAGCACAAGCTGGAACGCAGGACTTGCTTTACTTACGCCCTCTGAGTGTTAGCTCTGCTGGTGTGCTTCAGTGGTGGCATCCTTATTACCTAGTCAGAGATTCTGAAGGGAGCAGTTCCTTGCAGTTGGGCAGAATGTTTTAGTTTGGCCCTTTTTTTTGAGGAAGGCTGACTGCATCTGAGATATCCACCTTCTGTCTGCGTCTTTTGGGTGTCTTCTCCATGGAGAGGTGGTATCCTGAAGAGAAAGCAGGCAGCCATGAATTTCATTTGGGATACAACTCGTGTGCCTTAGTGTAAGATACTAGCTGCAATGAATAGTGAAGCAGCTAAAAATGTAGACAGAGAGGAGAACTGTCAGGCTGTTCAGTCCATCCTTTGTAACCCTGGATCATGTTAAAGTGGTTACTTTTTTCTGTGGAGTGATTAATTACATAACAGTCTGCGAGCCAGCCTGCGTGGAAGTTCCCTAGCACTTCAGTGGGCTGATTCCGGATGCTTTCACTTCCCTCTTGGAATTGAGTAGAATAGTAAGAAAGATGATAGCGTGCGGTAGGTTGGAAGGGACTCGGGTGGTTTTCTCGTGCAACTCCGTTCGGTTCGATCATCCTCAGTATTTGGCTAAATGACTTTTCAAACTATGCCCACAAAACCTGGACATGTCATTCAGACACGTGATGCACCAGACCTATCTTTTTCAAAATCCTGAATTCTGTGTTAGCCACCAGTGCCACTACTGCAGAGGGAGTTGCTGTAGGAATTGGAAAATTTTGACTGTGGAAGTGTGGGGAGGAGGGAGTGAGCTTTTGGCTTTCTGATGACACTTCCACCATCATTTTAAGAGGTGGCACACACGGATTCTGCTGTAGGCAGAAAAACAGCTTGGGCATACTTTCTGGAGACAAGTCTCCATAATTTTGGAATGTCACTGAGTGGAAAGGTAATCAATGAAACACCAGTATAGGAATCTACAATTCGAGTGGCATGGGACAAATTTTCAAATCGAGTAGGATGCATCTAATTAGACTCCTCTCCCCACCCCACGCCTGTAATTTAATGGAAGTTTGTTACTCTTGTGCTGGCAGATTTACCCACGTGGAAAAAGGAACATTATCATCCCGTTCATACCCCACTGTCAGTTCTGTTTTCATTTTGGCTGGTGTCTTACTCTGACACTAGAGGGCAAGCTGTCAGCAGAGATGTCAGAGAACCCCCCAGGGAAGGCCCTTTTCAATCAGTGGTAGGTTTTTGTCATGAATTACAGTGGTGAATCTATGGTCTACTTGAACAAAGTGCTCATCTCGTTTTCATCGACCTCTTGTCTTTTTCATACGGTGTAGACTGACCCAAGGGCTGTCGTGAACAGCGATTGCAGTCTGTTGTGATACGTAAGAATTACAGCGTTACCTGATGTTTTAGTGGAGTTTGTACCTGTTCTTCTACAGAATAACTACACTGTTCCCATAGAAAGGAGTATGCAAGGCACTGTTTGTAGTAAAGCATGTGTAACCTGGTCCTATCTTAGGTATCTGCAGTAAGAACTGAGGATCTCAAGGTCTGTACGGAGGACTTGCACAAAGTACTCTCTGAAGTCCAGGAGATGAGGGAGCAGCAGAACAACATGGATGTCAGACTGGCGAACATGAAGAGGTAGACTCCGTCTGTTTCAGAGGCACTTACATGTTGAATGTGGCTTATGTCTGATGGAGCTTGACTCTGAATGTGGGTTTCAGTTAAACTGGAAACAGGTGAAACTATTTTTTTTTCCTAAGAATCCCCATTCCACCCCACACAACATTCTAAATCTTGCTGGTTTTGTGATTCAGTAACAGACCAGAGATTAAGACTGGGAGTTCGTTGACTATCTTGAGGTTTCATTTTGGTTGCCATCACCTGTTGTAGCTTGTTAGGGTGATAAAAGCATTTCTTTTTCTAAACACAAAACACAGTTAGATGCAATGAAGGAGAGAGAATGTGTTTGGTTTTCTTATTAAATGGAAGTGGACTTTGCATGTCCTTATCTCTGTTCCCTCAGATCCTTGTTGCATAGGCACTGGTAATTCATTCAGATCATTGGCAAGCAGGTATCAACCAGAGTTTGGGAGACACCTTCACTCCACTCCCTGTGTTCCTTTAAAAACAAACAAACAAAAATTCCAAACACAAACTTCGAAACTGTTCTGAAGTGGTCTGTGTTACACTCAGCCCGTTTGCAAACCCCAAGTCTTTATTCTAAGGCTTTGAGGCTTTGAAGGAATACCTCAGATCAAGATTATTGGTGGAGCAGCAGCGGATAAGAATGTCCTTATTAGTGAGTGTTTGGTCCTGCCTGATGGAGAATGGAGTTAATTTAACCCAGGGTTTATTCTAGTGGATCAGATTAACCAATTGTTAGCTATCTACAGAAGGAATGTTGCCATTGGTCCTGCAAGGTACTGTGAAAGTCTGAAAGCGGTAAAACTAGAGCGTATAAAGTAAACTCTGTTCATCCTCTGTCTTCTGATTTATTCTGCATTGCAGAGAAAATAAGGCCCTGTGGAAAGAAGTGGCAGTTCTAAGGCAGAAGCACAGTCAACAACAGAAGCTGCTGTCTAAGGTACCATTGCAGCATCTTCAGTGCTACCATCCTTACTCCTGCCTCTGTGCTAGCTGACGGCATTCTTTGCTGATGTAGAATGACAAATGACACAGAGCTGAACAGGCTGTATTAGTACAGCGTAAAGAACGTTCACAGTTCCTGAGCGTCCCAGAAGTAGCGCAGCAAAGAACCACGAGCAAAATGCTAAGGAAAAGTAGTAAAAAGGATTTCAATGTGTTTGAAATCTCAGTGAATCTTACTTGGAGAGAAATCAAGCTGACCTGGGGTAAATGTGGGCTGGAGGCAGTGCATGGTAACAGGAGCCTAAAACAAGAGATTGCAGGCACATGGAATGGAGTCTGGGAAAGATCTTGGACCAAGGTAGACTCAGATCGCTCAAGAAGTCAACTTGGAACCCAGAAACTATAGGAGCTTCTGCACTGGAACAAATTTTCTCTGGTTTATCCCTCAGCTGTTTCTGATCTGGAATCCTCTAGTGACTTGTGGTGTTATATTACATTTAAAAAAAAAAAAAGAGAAAAACCAACTGTGTCCAAGTGAGATAATTTTTCAATGCCATTTGTAACTATCGTTTTGGTTTTTAAGACATGAACACAAATGGATATTTAATTTACCTATTAATTTCAATCACATAACTACATAATTTTGTAGTAAAATCTGAGTTAATAACTTAATATTATGATTGCTATGCTGACCACTTGTTTTTGATTTTTTGTTTTTCCTTTTTAGATTCTCCAATTTATACTAAGCTTGATGCGAGGAAATTATATTGTTGGGGTCAAAAGAAAAAGGTAATTACTGGGTAGGTCACAAATCAGTGTTAGATAGGAATTATAGGGATAAATCAGCTTTTAGAAGCAAGATATTTTTCTTAATGTGCATAAAGAATATTTTTATCACTTGTATTTTTTAGTCAAAGCTGACAGAAGTTGAATAAAGCATGAAATAGAGATTTCCTCATCCATGTTTTTTAGTGATAAAGAAGAGAATATACTGTACATCTTAAATTTCGAAGAGCACAGTTATCAGAAGTGGTAACTTTTAAAATGTGCAAATGTGGCTGACTTACTGCAAAACCAAAAGCACGTGTAGAGTGCAGCCTGTCTGCAGTGCACTGAGAACAGCAATTTCCAAAAGCTGGTGTTCTTGAAGAGGAAGAATGGCAGTTGTTACTGCACTTATTTGGCATTGCTCCAGCTTTTCACTGTGGAACTACGTACTAAAGCTGTATGTTGTCTCAGGTCTCTAACAGATGCTGCAGGTGCTTCACCTTCCAAATACAGTCGTCAGTATGTTCGCATTCCTGTGGAGAGTGGCCAAGCCGTAAGTCTTCCCGGGGAAGGAGACAATGGGCTGGACAGGATGATATACAGTGATCTCAAAGTCTTCCTTAAAGCTGTTAATACCTTAATCTTATCAAGAAGTGCATTCCCTTTTGAAATGGGCAGCTTTAAAGCATTGCTCTGTCTGTAAAATCGTGCAAATCAGTACAACTAGTCACAGATGAAATCTGAACAGGAAATAGAAGCTGCAAGAAGAATGGAGCTTCGACATGAAAAAAGTGAGACCTTTCAGTTTACTCATGCAATTTGCTGTGTCTTGCAGATGGCTTTTTCTGAACATAATGCAGATGACGAGGATGGAAATGGTACGGGGCTCATCATTCGAGATATCACTGATACCTTGGAAAATGCCACCGACGGTCTCCTTGCTGTGGCACACACAAGTGGCAGAGCCAGGTATGTTTAAAGGACGTGGAAGTGTTAATGCTTAGGTTGTTGACTAGGCAGTTGTGTTAGTGTAAGTGATCCATATGCATTCTGGGAAACAGCCCCTCTGAATTTTCACTCGATTTGAGCATGATAGACCTGTTTGTAGGTTGACTTTTTTTACAGCATGTAGCATTGGTCATGGTC